GCTGTCTTCTAATTATTTCACTTTTATTTTAGCATTGTGAAATGAGCATCATATCTGGTATACTGTGAAAGAGATTCTTCCTATGTACCACTGCCAATATATCTTAGTATAAAGTCAAAGGCTACATCATTCACCATCAGAGGTATTGGAGCTCCACCCTCCTGTCAGCATATATTCTTATGTAAGTATCTGCAGAAATATTTTTAATACTGAAAATACATCACATATTGAATATGAAACTTTTTGCATAAATTAAATCTGGATTCACTTTTGATTTGTCACGTATGTATGAAATGCTAATTTATCTGTAGCAAATTCTATCATATTGTTCTATAGTCACCTACATAAACCATACTGTATCATAAAAGCAAAAATGAAAAAATGCACTCAGCTAAAAAAATTTAATATTAATACAAAGACTATATTGAGCTACCTAATTCACACAAATTATCTTTACATACTATTTATTTATGAACTACATTTTTAAAAATCTGTATTTATGGCTGATTAAAAACCAATTCAGATTTTATTCTGACTATCACCACAACTGAGCTAAAGAGCTCCATGTGCAGATACAGGTGTCAGCATGTATATTATTTACTAAAATAAAAACTATTGATATGAGTATCAGAATGCATGCTAGAACATGCAATGAAACATGGCGGTCATCAGCCAACACTTCTTTAGCAGTACTGTTTTTGATTGGCTACACATAATTTATATTAAAAGATAAATAAATCAATAAAAATATTGTCCAGAAGCTAACAAAAGTAACTATTATTTTTTAATACCGTTTCCCCCAAAATAAGACATCCCCTGATAATAAGCCCAATCGGGCTTTGGAGTGCATGGCAATAAGGCCAAGCACTTATTTGAGGGTTCAAAAAAATATAAGACAGGGGCTTATTTTCGGGAAAACATGGTAGTTTTAGAGAAATTGGGTTGTATGGGTATTCTTTTGTGAAATTGAACAACTGTTGCTTATTTAGCACTCTAAATCTCTAAAATAAAACTCTTCAAAGTACCATCAAAGCAACTTTTTTACATTTATCTCGATTTTAAAAAAACTACTTCTCTATTATCATTATTCCTTATTTCAAAATAACTGGTTCAGGATATTTGGAAGATAGCAATAAATTTGGAATAAATAAGCAAAAATCAGAGCCATCAATTCAGTACTATATAATTCACCTATGCTTTGGACAATGCTCAAGATTTACACATAGCTTCATTTTTATATATATCTGCAAGTTACCAAGATTGAATATGTTCATCCCCAATCTAAAACATCACCATATTTACAATGCTTTGAGCAAAGAATACTTTCATTCCAATCCTATCAACTAAATTATTTATATGATGAAATTATAATTGTCATTTGAACATTCAAACCAAGCTAATGTAACAGACTGAACAAACTGAAAAACAGATCTAAATTTTAGACACAAATACCAGGCTAAATTCAAGCTTTTTAAACTTTCATGAATAAATTATTGATTCTGGGCTATGATGTACATCTAAAATTTGTTAATTTCTTTACATGGGGTGTAATTTAACTTTTTATCTTATTATATGTTAATAACTATATCTTACATTTACTCTTTCACTTGGTTGGTTTCTCTTAAAATTCCTGTCAACCATTCCCTTGATAGGTGTTCTGTTTAGCAGGTTTAGGGAACAAACTGAATTTGTAACATTTTTACAACTCGTCTCATTCATTAAGAATCTTATTCATGCCTGAACTGCAAGATGGACAACCAACCAACCAACCAAGAAAGCAATCAATATATACATACATACATACATACATACATACATACATACGCCAAAAGCCTTAAAGATTTTAAGTAAGAATTTAAAATACCAGAAAATCAAAACTTAGGGAAAGCATGCTATTAGCTAAAGGCTTTTAATGATAATAGATTAACATCTTATTGAAGAAGCACTTTAAAGTTATATTTTTATAAATTCGCTACTCTAACACTTTTTCAATCAATAAATTAAATGTCTTAATGTATAGCACTTCTATGTGTTAATCATTGATCTAGCTTCATAAAATCTCCTTCATCTGACCTGCTATGATTAACTAGATGTACTCCTTTTTCTTAGTTGCAGCATGAATTTTTATGTTTGACATAAACACAAGGATATTATCCAATTTTAATGTGCTACAGGAAAAATAATTTCCAGAAGGAGCTAATCGGTACTGCTTGAATGCTACTTCTGAAATCTAGTATCTACTTCATTTATGTTATAATTCTCAATCAAGCAGTAAGCAAATGAAATGCAATGTTACTATTCCCAAAATTTGCTAAACTATTTAGAAACTATTACATAAATCCAAAAGCAAAAAGTCAAAAGAAGGAAGTGATTTTGTTTCAAATGATACATTAGAACATTAATAATTATGTAATTGATATCAAAATTATTTTTAAGTTTTACACAAACTCTATAGGCAAAAAAACCCACATTTTCTAAAAATAATCTGGTTCCTGCAACATCCTTGTTTGATTGGATGAATGTGAGGAATAGACAGAGCTGAATTAAAAGCATCCTGGGATTCTTTATGAACAAGTTCCGAGTTAACAATTCCTCACTTACATCTTTTTTTTAAAAAAAAACTATATCACCATGTACTTCTGAAATTTAGCATTTTATCCCTAGTAAATTATTCTTACACTCAAACAAAAGACATTCTTCTAACAACAACTAAAGGTGTTTTATTAACCGACCAAATTCATAGGTCATTTTCCTTTTATCATGAGAAAGGTGCGACACCCAGTGTATAAAAAATTAAAATCCAACCCAAAGGATAATACATGCAAAATGTCTCCTACGATCCCACCCCCGTTCTTCTCCTTTAGAAAATAACCCTGCGACGACAGCACACCAACACTGGGAGAGAAACCCAGCCAATTAATATGGCAACAGTTACGCAGCCTAGTGAGAAAATGATCGCCCTCCTCCTCCTTTTCCAACACTTTCCCCCGCCCCCAGACACCCAGATCTGGGTTTTATTTCATTTTTCCGGTGATCATGTAAATCTTCTATTAGAGAACGAAGGAAAACCGGAATCCCTTTCATGATTACGTTTCCAATTCTTTCAAACAATGGTGCTTGTCTAATTGGTCGCGATCTTAATATTTTTATGCTAGGCCCCGACCGACAAGCAGGGAACTGAAACCCTCACACGCGCGGAAAAACGACGAAGGCTTCTCTACCGCCACCCGCAGCAGCCTGACACCAGGAACGAATATTTGTGGGTTTTTATTTAGGCCAGTGTGTGAGAGTGGTGCGACAGACTGAAGAGGGCGAGAAGGGGAAAGAGAAGGAAGCAGATAAATAAATGGCCGATGATCTACCCCGACAAAAACGCCGCCTATGTAGGGATGAGGGGTCTGCAATTCCTTTCTTTCATGCCACCCTCCGAATCCCTCCCTATCTCGGATCATTTTTTTTCCTTCGGGGTCCGGGTAACCAAAGCCATGCAAACTGCGCAGCAAAAACACTGGGGCAGGGCGAGGGAGGAGAGAGAGAGAGAGAGAGGGAGGAAGAGAAAGGGGAGGGGGTGAGAGAGCAGTTCTTGTCTCCATGAGACACCATTACAAAAAGAGAGAAAACCGGGGGGGGGGGGGAGGAGAGCCGCCGAGGAGGAGGAGGAGGAGGAGATGATTAAAGAGAATAAAAGGAAATGTGTCAACACAAGTTACTGGGATACACACACCGTGTCCCGGACACAGGGGGAAGCTTTTTGCCTCCCACGGCTAAAATAAACCGCCGGGGAAAAGGACCCGGGCCTCTTCGTCCTCTTACTCTCCCTTTTTCTCTTTCCTTGGGGGAACCGAGAGGAGGCTCTGTGCTCTCTATTCAACACCCCCCACCCAAAAGTACCTGAGAGGAACCCACAGTTTATTGGCAATCCAAAGCTCAAGGAGGGCCCGAGCCAAACAAAGCGCGGCCTATGTCCCTAACAGGTCCGCGGAACGGGGAGAGCCTATCTAGGGCTGGCAGAAGGGGTGGTGGGGGGAAAGGAACCCCACCCGCTTCGCCGTCTCTCCTCTGCCCGCGCCCCTTTGCCGCCCTTGTCCTTGCCGCCCCTCCCTCTCCCTCCTTCTCTTACCCCGTTCCCCAGCGGCGATAGCGGCTGCGGCGGCGGCAGCTACGGCGTTGTTGTTGTTCCTCTCCGGCGGCGGTGGAGGTGGAGGTGGCGGCGGCAGTTGCAGTGGTTGCTGCTGCTGCTGCTGTTGCTGAGGCGGCTGAACAGGAGGAGGCGGTGGCGGCGGTGGCGGCGGCTGCTGCACCGGGCGCGGCCTGGACACTCGCCTGGGTCTCCTGTTGGCGGCTCGGACCGAGTTCATTTGCCGGTTCGGGCGGGGGGAGGAGAGGGGGTCGCTCCTCCGGCAACGAGACTTGGGGAGGGGAGGTGGGGGAGGAGGAGGAGGAGGAGGAGAGGGGGAAGGAAGGTTTCCTGGCTGAGGAGACCGGCCCAGAGGAGCTCGCTCAGAGAAAAGGAAGGCGCCTCCTCCTATGCCTCCGTTGCCGCCCGGGTCTCTCCTCCGCCGCCGGCGGTTAACGAGGGGGATGCTCGTGCCGCTAGTGACCCCCTTCCCCCTGCTCTGGAGCTCGCGCTTTTCCCTCCCACCCCTCCCCAGCCCCCCCAAGAAGGTCTCTCTCAAGGGAGTCACCCACAGCCGGCCCGGCTTCGGCTTAAGCCCGTCGCCTCTCCGTGGCAGGAGGAGCCATGGACACTGCCAGAGAGAGAGAGACAGAGCGAGGGAGAGAGAGGGGGAGGAGGAAAAAAGGCCCTCCCTCTCCCCGTCCCCTCTCTACACTCTCACAACGGGCAAGGCGACAAGCCTCGGCTCACCCAATCCGCGCATCCCGCATGGAAAGGATGAGGCTGCTTGGCCAATGGCGGCGAGGCTTGCATGTTCAGGCCGAGGGGCGGCTGGTATTGAGGAGGTGGAGAAAAAAAAGGAGCGGAGAGGGAGGGAGGGAGGAAGCCGAGAAAACTAGTGGGAGGAGAGACTGCGGGGTGGGGTGGCAGGAGGAGGCCGCAGAGAAAGGGGGCCCGTATAAAAAAGCTGAGAAGCGGGAGGCCAACGAAGTGCGGGGAAGGCTTCGGAGCGTGGTTCAGGGCAGAAAAGTCCCTTAATTTGTCCAGAGCTGAATTCTAGGTTCAGGAAAGGGAGGGAGCAAATGGGGTTCCGTCTTAGAACTGGGTCAGAGGTACATAGAGTTCAAAAAGTGTCTTCCTGCCAGAGAAACAGAAGCATTTCGCTTTTCGAGAAAGAATGGAAGTGAAGGAGCATGGGATGACAATAATGTAATTATTATAAATGATTATCTCAGCTCCAAAGAAATGATTAATCAGTTCTTGAGTGGGGAATCTGGTGGAGCAGAAAAGAAAGGGTGGTTTAGTTCTGAAACGGGATTTGGTTTGACAGCTTGGCTCATCTGGGAACCTTCGGTTTTCAGGGAGACTGAAACTATATCAAGGAACGTAGAATAAAAGGGTAGGTATGAAATACTTTTTGGAAAATGGTCTCCATTTGGAGGGGGGGGATTCTTGATGTTTCTTGCTGGGTGGCTTTCTTTCCTTCTGCTTGGATACTACAGTATTCTGGAGTAGGTGAGCATAGCCTTTCTCAGGGAGGGGCCAATATGACATTTTGTGGGTCCAGTCCCTTTTCTTAAAAGCTATTTCTTCTATTTTAAAATAACAGCAGTTGAGTTTGTCTAGAGACAATTTAAAAATGTCCCCTCTTAAAGCTGCACAATTAGCATTGAAGTTCTTAACATATTTATCTGTTAGATCCTCCTTCATTCTCTGTGCTAGAGAGCCTACTCAGTTTTTGTGAACTTGGATTAGAAATTTGCTTGCTGCTTATATTAATGTGTCTTTGGCAAATGCCCTTTTTTATTTTCCTGATCATTTTTAACCTTTCCAAATTGCTTTTATGACTATAACATTTGGTTTTAATTCTTACTGCCTTTATTTCTATTTTCATGATAATGTATTTGTTTTAATGCATTTAATTATAATTTATCCCCCCACCTCTGCAAGGTTAACTATGTTACTCCATTGCATGAAAAGCACAAGAATTATTATAAAGGCTAACAAATTTGTAATAGGTTTTCTAGGACTACAGAAACTACATGGGTGTACCAATATTTATATCAAAGGTTATCCCTCAGATTTTTTCTATGACCTATTAGTCTTAAGACAATTTAGAACTTGTAAAAATCCAATCTCTTTATTATAATTAGAACATATTTACATTTATGTTACAACTAGAACAAATTAATACCACAAATTACTATAGTAGGTCTTTCTTTAGATGGCTATTTAATTTTATTCCCCATCTCAAAATCATCTTCAGCATCTTGGTCATATGTATGACATTTCTTATTAAATTATTTTGGTTTTGCACATCCTATTTGATGCTCCTAATCCTAATAATTTCAACCATATCCTTCCAACAGTATGTGTGTCTATGGTAGGTAAACTCTTAGTGCCACCAAATTCTGTTACGTTAAAAGTTCTCTTCCTCTTCCATTTTGATTTTTTGCATATATAAAAATCCATAAAATTTACCAAGAAACTGGCATAGGTACAATCCGACACTATCTTCCTAACCAGAAGCAAACATCATGACATCATTCTTAAAAGACTAAAGGTAAAGAATCCTCTACTGTCAACATATTTGTTGAGGGACCTCCTCTTCTCAGTTACATCTACCTATCCTATCAGATCCAGCAGGAGAGGCATGTTACAGGTCCTATCTATTAAGAAATGTAATCTGACAAGATCTAGGAAGAGAGTGTTTTCTGTCATGATGCTTGCCCTCATTCCCTCAGAACTTAGATTGACACCTACCCTTCTGGTGTGGTCTGAAGACTTGGATGTGCCATTGTGCCTGGAGGTCTGACAGTAATAGTGAGCCTTGGCAATGGTTATATTACATGGATGTATGGTTTATATTTACCAACTGACTATGCTTCATGTTTAAGCTGCTGCACCTATCCACTTACCTCAGTGTGGAGGGCTCATAGATTCTCCAAAATACTGTGAACCTATGCAGCCATTCAGCCAAAGAGAATTGCCTATCCTTTCATGAGGTGTATCCTTTGACCCACTAAATCCACACATAATCTACAATTTAGATGAAACACTTCTTTTCACCTGAATATATTAGTCCTCAAACTACATCCATGCATTTAGTGATCTTTCAAAGTTATGATGTTGCTGAATGAATGGTAGTTACAACCAGTCCTTGAAATTCTGGCCATTTCAACATCCTCTTGGTAATGTAATCAAAATTTAGGTGCTTGGTAACAACTCATATTTATGATCCTGTTACAGCATCTCATGATCATGTGTTTTGCATGACCTCTTCACTTGATGGAAATCCTGGTCCCAATTAGAATCATAATCCAAGGACTTCCTATACTTTCAAGATACTATCTACGACAGACATACTATTTCTAACACATCATATTCTGGGACAATAAGCAACCATAGTTCATACCAAACCCAACTATGTTTTTAAAAATACTGCACAGATATTCCCAGATGGATATTGCACGGTTAGATTTCTACATTGAAAGCTATCGCTAATAAGCCTAAGCCACAATTATGTATTCTCCTGATACAACAATATTAATACAGGAGAATGCCATTCAAGATCCCAAGAACAACAGCTGACAATGGAGGGCAGTTGTCATGAGTACAATTGATTATGTTAAGGAAACAAGAAGTAACTCTCCAACCAACTACTGTGTACAAACAAGAACCACCATCCCATTCTGGCAATAGTTGGTTGGCAATTGCTGGAGATGGAATGTTGGGCTAAGGAGATGATATTCTCTGCCAATTATGCAGTTTAGTTCCTGTCCTGTTCCTGTTTAGGAATAATAAAGATTTCCCATAGCCTGGTTGATTGTGAGGATGGACAATAAGAATTAGCAAGTACATTGAATCTTGACAAGTATACAATGATTCTTTAAAAAAACACTGTGGTATTAAACTACAGGGAATAAATACTTTATTATTTAATACATAACAATAAGAAAATGTATAATAAGTAGTTATTCAATAAAGTAAAAAATTAGCACATGTAAACCTAAGCCATAATGATAACTATTCTGAACTAAATAGTTAAAAATATTATTAAAGCACAAGTACAATGCAGTTCCATGACTAAAATCAAAGAAATTTGGGACTGACCAAAGCTTTGTTAAAAAAGTAATTTAGAGATCAAATTTATATACTTAAGGAGAAAATTGTATTGAATGACTTGAGAGTTGCCATATGTCATTAAAAAGACAATAACAATAGACAATGGTCCTGTTGATTGGGCATGATAATGTTTGCAATTTAGCATGCCTGTTGAATGCTAGGTTGGGGATCCTCCATTAGTATCAGTCTATCTAGCTGTTTGTCTATCCTATTTTGTCAGCCCTCCCAGGTAAACCAGACAGGAAACATAACTAGAGGAGCTAATTCTACACTATTGCAAGGCTACATTAACAGAATTTTGCAATGAAGGAACAGATTTCCTTCCCAATCTGATCAAAACAAATTGTAAAACTTTATTACTGCTTACAGTACTGTATTTAGTATGCAGTTCTTTATTACTACTAATAGTAATAATTTCAAAAGATGAGCAAGAAGTTTATGGGTCAGTTGCCTTGTAGGTGGAATTTTTCTTTTCAAATGATCTGTGCTAGTCATTGAAGTATACAAGAATCCCAGATAGAAATGGAGTATAGGGTAGAGGTTGTTTGTCAGTAACCACTGCTGAATAAGAAAATGACAATTTGAGTTCTAATATTCAAAAATGCTGGAATGAATTGTGAGTAGTTAAACAACATATTTAAAAAACTAAGGAAAATAATGCATACTTACTGTTCTGAACCTTTAAATGAAGTACCAAAGTTGTTCAATATTTGTAACTAATCACAAATAACTAGACAACCTGTGAGCCATTGGCTCATACTTTCAGAGATATTTCCTTACCAGATTCCTCAAAGCATTCAACAGTGAAAAAGCTTCTAATGTACTGCCTTCACTGTATCTACCTTGAAAATAACCCATGCTGAACATAGTCAAACATCAGTACAAGGAATGTTTTATGACATTTGGCATTAGGTCATAAACTGTCTTATGATAATATTTGATATCCTAAACTGTTTTATAAAAGTTGTCAAGTTTCAATTCCATGGAAATCATAGATCCCAGGTTTTGGATGCATTCTATAAGTTGAAGTACCTGGGTTCAAAAATTGTTGCCCCATGATGCACCATTTTGTCCAATTAAAGGATAAGGGAAAAAGAATTTGAGTAGTATATAGATTAAAACAAACTTCTTGGTAGTTTTTCCAATGTCTTTAACAAATTCAGTAATCCAGTTTAAACCAATAGCTTCTGAAAAAATGAAAAGTATGAAAACTGTTATAAAGAAAATGCTTCCAAAAATTCCCTCAACTTACATTGTGTTCCTGAAGTCAATAACACAAAGTTTTCATATTTGGCCTGAAATGAAAATATATCCAAACACGATCTCGTGAGAATAACAAATACTAGGAAAAAAATTGTCAAATAATGAAATAAATTATAAAATTACATTTATTTTTATTTCAATTTAAACATTTAATATCCATGAATTTAGAAACATTCTGTATTTATATTTCTGCTGGAATCCACTAATTCCTTGTGGTTTGCAGTCATAAAACATTTTAAAAATTCAGCACAATTAAAAAATAAAATAAAGAGGTATTATCTATCGATAACAACTATATGGCATCACTGAAGCACACAAACCAACTTAAAGCCCTACAAAACAACCTAAGTAAACCAAATACCCAACAGTATCAGAAGAAAAAACAGGAGTTACCTATAACATATAGTATAAGGACTGCAATAGCCATTATGTAAAACAAACAGACAGAAAACTAACTGAGCACATCCATGGACACCAACTAGTAGTGAGAAGACATGATGAAAGTTCCTTAATTTCACAACACATGGACAGATTTAACCAGGTTTCAACTGGGAAATTGTGAGGATCCTAGATCAAGCCAAGTCCAAAAACGCTAAAGAATTCCTGGAAGCCCGACACTCAGACAGATCAGCCATCAACAAGCACATAGAAATAAAGAACATCTACACAACATTCAATAAAAAAAGGAAATAAAAAAACCCAAACCAGCAATGAACGACCAGATCAGCAGAGATAAAATTAACATTAGACCAAAAGTCAAGAAATAAACAATGCCCTGATTAAGGAACTATCAACTTAGACCAGCAAGCTAATAGTAAACAATCAAGGAACTACAAAGACCACTCCCACCAGTACTGACAGGCCAAGTCATTGGTATAAGAGTAAAACCCTACTTCTTCTTGCATTGATAATGTAACCTCGTTTGGTAATGAAATAACCTAAGAAAACAAGCTCAGAGACCACCATGAACCCCACAGTTCAATCCTGAGCTATAAATATTCTTTTATATCA